CTCCAAAATCAAAACTTTGAGTGCCAACATGATGTCACAGTAGAAAAATTCTACACCTCACCTCATGGATGCTGAAGTCCTTATATATAAAATGGTGTAGGGCAACAGCAGAGGGCATGGTAAACCCTGGCTGCCAGGTGAGCATTCTTCAGGCTCCACTACCTCCGGGGAACCCAACAGCTGCCTGCTTCCACCTTTGAGGCAATGGCTGCATCACTCCTGCTCCTTTGTGTGGAAGGCAAAAGCAAGTGCGGATGGGCTCCCCGGAGGCAGGGAAGTCCAAAGAATGCACAGTGGCTGAGACTTGTCGCTGCCTCTGCTACTGCCCTGGGACCACTTCTTGGTCTAGTTGCACTAGATCTCCTGTATTTTTTTCCCCCGGGCTATGTGTATAAGATGTATATGAAACATAAATAATGTTCATGTTTAAACTTGGATCCTATCTCCAAGATATCTTGTTATGCATATGCAAATATTCCAAAATCCAAAACACTTCTGGTTCCAAGCATTTCAGATAAAGGACACTTAAGCTGTACATGGAAAGCCCTTTTCTTCTGAGCAATCAGCCCTCAAAGGCCTTCTGAAACAAAAAGGTCTTCATCTGCATATGAAAGAATGAGGTACCAGTCTAACCTCACTAGAAAGGAAGTTCCAGAGCCTGGAGACAGCCATCAAGAAGACCCTCTCCTGGTTTCCCATAAGATGCACCTGTGAGATGATGGGCCAGAAAGGCCTCCCCAGAAGATCTTGTGACACAGATAGGGAGATACAAGCTTTCAGAGAATTTGAACCTGAGCCATGTTGGGCTTTATAGATCATAACCTGCATTTTTCTGAGCCCAGAAACAGACCGGCAGCCAGTGGAGCTGTTGCAAACCAGGAGTCATGTACTCTACGTAGTCAGTTCCACTGCCAAGTTTTTGTAACAGCTGAAGTTTCTGAGTGTCCTTTAAACGTAGCCCTCATAGAGCACATTGTTGTTGTTGTGTACCCTCAAGTTGTTTCTGACTTATGGTGATCCTAATGTGGCACTATCATGGGCTTTTCCTGACAGAATTTGTTCAGAGGTTGTTTACCATTGCCTTCCTCTGAGGTTGAAAAAGTGTGACCTGCCCAAGGCCAACCCAGTGAGTTTCCATGGCTGAGCAGGAATCCAAAACCTGGTCTCCAGAGTCATAGTCCAATGCTCAGACAACTACACCATGCTGGCTTGTTACATCAGTGCAAAGTGGATGTAACTAAGGCATATATCACTGTGGCCAGACCCCTAAGAAATTCAGCAGATGCAGCTCTGATCATCACTGTATCACAGTGGCATCACTAGGGTTGGTGTCACCCAGTGTGGTAACTCATGGTTCACACACACACACACACATTGATCTCCCCCCCCCCCCCCATACTACACCACACAGAATCCTTAATTATGTTTTTGGTATTAATGCTACTCATAAATCAGAATTCCATATATCACTGAATATCATGGCAATAGTTGTGATATAAACAACTAGCACAATTAAAATTATACTTTTAAATTATAATAACATACGCATAGGCTAAATATGTTTTTTATACATAATTTCTGTGGTTAAGGTAAAAATTTGGGGAAATGTGATATTTTTAAGGACTTTTTAAAAAATCTTAATTTTAAAAAACTATATATTTTTTGAAATTTGAAATTTTAATTAAAAAACGGAGGCCTCTCCTTTCTCCTCCCACCGAGCCTTACCCATA